TGAGGTACTCAGAGTGGTCAGATTCATAGAGACAGAAAGTAGAAGGGTGGTTACCATGGGCTGGGAGGAGAGAATGGGGAGTTAGTGTTTAATAGGTCCAGAGTTTCAATTTGGGAAGATGAAAAAGTTCTGGAGATTTGTTGTACAACAATGTGAATGTACTTAACACTACTGAATTGTACACTTAAAAATGGTTAAAGATAACCAGGTGTGGTAGCTGATGCCTGCAATCCCAGCACTTTGGGAGGCTGAGGTAGGAGGATCACTTGAGTCCATGAGTTTAAGATCAGCCTGGGCAACATAGCGAAATCCTGTCTCTACAAACAATGCAAAAATTAGCTAGGTGTGGTGGTGTGGTCCCAGTTACTTGTGAGACTGAGGTAGGAGGATCACCTGAGCCTGGGGAGGTTAAGGCTGCAGTGAGCTGTGATCAGACCACTGCACTCTAGCTAGGAAGACAGAGTGAGACCCTGTCTCAAAAAAAAGGTAGGGGGAGGGGGCAGTGATTAGCGTTTAAATGTTATGTTATGCCTACTTAACTGTTTGAAGTCACACACAAAAGTCTTATTTAGTGAAATCACGTATTTTATGATTTCATTTATATGAAATGTCCCAAATGGGCAAATTCATAGGAAGTAAGTAAATACTTGCCGGGAAATGGGAGAGGAAATGGGGAGTAGGGCCAGTGATTCTGGGGCTTCTTTCTGGGGTGATGAAAATGTTCTGGAATTAAATAGTGGTGATGGCTGTACAGCCTTGTGAATACTATACTAAAACCCACTAAATTCTGCGTTTATCTAAATGGGTGAATTTATGGTGTATAAATTACATCTCAATAAAAATTAATAAAAAGGAGTGGTGTGAGGAATTGGGAAAACATAAACACACACATATATATACATATATACACACACACACACATATACACATACATATATGCGCCTTAACCCTAATCAGTTCCCTTTGTCCTTTCTGCAACAAAGTTATACCTTATACTATAAGGTATATAGTCCAGATCTATCTGTATCTCTCTCTCTATATATACATATATATATACACACACACACATATATATCTCTCTCTCTGTATCTTTCCAGAAAAATATGCAAAATGGCTTGGTGAATTTTCTTTTTGATTTTAACACTTCAACTTTTTTTTGGCTAGTCATGGTAACTCACACCTGTAATCCCAGCACTTTGGGAGGCCGAGGTGGGTGGATCACTGTAACCCAGGAATTCAAGACCAGCTTGGGCAACATATTGAGACCCCTTCTTTACAAAAAATACAGGTTTGGTGGCACGTGCCTGTAGTTCCAGCTACTTGAGAAGCTGAGGCAGGAGGATCGCTTGAGCCTGGGAGGCAGAAGTTGCAGTGAGCCGAGATTGCACCACTGCACTCCAGCCTCGGTGAGAGTCAAACCTTGTTTCAAAAAATATATATATATATACATTTTTTTCTTTGCTTTCTTCCTTTTTTTTTTTTTTAAAGACAGGGTCTCACTCTTTCACCCTGTCACCCCCCAGGTTGGGGTGTAACAGCTCAACCTCAGCTCACTGCAACCTCCCAGGTTCAAGTGATACTCCCAACTCAGCCTACCAAGTACATAGGACTACAGGTGCACACCACCACGCCTGGCTAATTTTTGTATATTTTTTGTAGAGATGGGGGTTTTGTCAGGTTGCCTGAACTCCTGGGCTCAAGCGATCCACCCAGCTCAGCCTCCCAAAGTGCTGGGATTACAGGTGTGAGCCATTGCACCTGGCCAGTTTTTTCCTTTTACTGTGTCTGTGGTTCAACAATTTCCTTTTTTCCTCGTTCTCTACGGACTTTCTACTTCATTTGGACTCTGCTTAGATTGGCCTAGTTTTCTCTTTAGTCAAATCTTCAGGAACCAATTTATTAAAATTAAAAATGATCTAACAAGCTTTATTTTTATTATTGTTAAAAATCCTCATTTTGAGGAACACAACCACAAAGTAAAGAACAATACTTAATAATAAAATTTAAAAAACATGGCTCCAGGCCATCTGGATGCCTTAACTTGGGCTCAGGGGCCTGACACTGATGAGTCTTCTTTATTCTCCTCTGATGCCCTTTTGTGGGAATGAATCTGTTTTGGAAGAAAACACAATTAAGATTATCCATCACAACAACCACTATCTCCAAATCTGTATTCATTCCTTTTATTCATTTTAAGTCTCATCTACCTGGTGAGATAAGATTTTTGAAGACAGGAATTGTATGCTGTTCAACAGAGCTTTGATTCTTCCACAGTTCAGTCATCCTTGCTATCTTGCAGGGGACTGGTTCTAGGATACCGCCCCCACACCATACCAGAATCTGTGGATGCTCAATCCCTTACATATAATGGTGCAGTATTTGCATATAACCAACATACATCCCCCCATATACTTTACTTACT